CCGCCTTGACTACGCCGCTCACCTGGTGAGTGGCCCTGCTCGTTCTCCGTCCTCTGGGGGTGCTCCTGTCTTTCCCTTGGAGGTCCTCGAGGACAGGCAGTTCGAGCTTGGTTTCCTTGCGGCCGCTGTTCCTCATCTCTGCACCATGCTGCTTGCCCGTGAGAGGGATCCGGACGCCCTTGACATCCCGATCCCTCGCACTCACGCTGAGGCGGTCTCGGGACCCTGGACTTCGTACTGGATAGCAGCTGAGGAGGCAGAGATGGCATCTTATAGGTCCACAGGCACCTACGTCGACGCCGTCCCGCCACCTCGGGCGAACGTTGTCAGTGGCATGTGGCTCTACAAGGTGAAGCGGCCGTTTGGAGCACCACCGGTGTTCAAGGCGCGCTACGTGGCGAGAGGCTTCAGTCAGCGAGAGGGGGTAGACTTCTTCCAGACCTTCGCTCCCACCCCGAAGATGACCACTCTTCGGGTGTTGCTGCATATTACAGCACAGCGCGACTACGAGTTGCACTCCTTGAACTTCTCCAGTGCGTTCCTTCAGGGGAGCCTGCACGAGCAGATCTTGTTGGGTCGTCCGCGTGGCTTCATTGGCACTTTCCCTCTTGGGACCTAGTGGCAGCTGCGTCGACCGGTCAACGGCCTGCGCCAGGCTCCCCGCGAGTGGCACGACACGCTACGTACGACTCTTGCAGCGCTTGACTTCTTTCCGTCGTCTTCTGACCCGTCGTTGTTCGTCCGCCGTGGCTCGACCCCGCACTTTGTTCTGGTCTAGGTTGACGACCTGGTCTTCGCCACTCCCGACCGAGGCGCGCTGTCCTCCGTGAAGGAGGAACTGCAGAGGAGACACACTTGAACTGACCTTGGTGAGCTGCAGCGCTACCTTGGCCTGCAGATCACCAGGGACAGGGCAGCTCGCACCATTATGCTGACGCGGTCGCATATGGTCGAGCAGATCCTCACGCGGTTTCGCTTCCCCTCCAAGGTACAGCTCACCCCTCTCGCTGTGGATCATGGACTCACGGCTCCACCTTCGAACGAGCCATTTGAGTCCAGCAGTCCATATCCTGAGTTGGTGGGTTGTCTCATGTACCTGGTGACCTGTACTTGCCCAAACCTAGCTTTCCCTCTTAGCGTCATGGCGCGCTTTGTTGCGCCTGGGAGATACCGACCTTCTCATTGGTTGGCTGCTAAGAGGGTGGCGAAGTATGTTGCGAGCACATCAGGCATGGGACTTGTCCTTGGAGGGAAGCAGCCAGTTACACCCACAGGGGTCGGAGTTGTTTTGTGGAGAAGGCTGGAGAGGGCAATGCAGGCCACAGCGTCACGCGACTGCCACACTGAACGAGCTGTACGGGCCTTATCGAAGCGTGCCTCGGCCGCCTGATCAGGCTATGCACCCAGGGCAGGAGGGAGGGGAAGGCTCAGGCAGGTCACCGGAGGCGTGCGCCCAAAGCGAATCATTGTCCTGGCGCTGGCTCTTGAGAAACCGCTCGGCACGGATGAGCCAGAAGGGGAACTCTAGGGCTCTTCCCTCAGCATCAAAGCGCAGAACGCGAGGGGCCGCCATAACGAGGGAACTACCGACCTAGAAGCGCAGGGCTAGAAATGGCCGGCGCTAGAAACGAGTGAGGGCATGCGGCGCTTGAAGAGACGAGGCGAGGAACGGTTTGAGCTAGGAGCGACCTAGGCCAGAGTGGCGAGGCTAGAACGAGCCGAAACGAGGAACGAGCGAGGCCCGAGTGCTAATCGAGATCCGAGCGAGGCGAGGAACGAAGGAAGTTAGAAAGGCAAGGCTAGGAACACTACTAGGAACACGGGGCAGAGCCTAGGTCACGCTGGCAGAGGGTACTGCGGCCGCCAGACGCTGTGGGTGGAACACCAGTGGTAGTAGTCGTAAGGAAGGTGCTGCACGTACGGATAGGTGCAGGTGGGAGCGGTCTAGCGCGGTGGAGAGCGGTCAGGTATGGTTCAATGCGGTGGAGTGCGGTCGGGAGCTGTTAGCAACGGTATATGAGCGGTTAGAAGCGGACAGGAGCAGTGAGGAGCGGGTAGGAGTGGTTAGGAGCGGTGAGGAGAGGTGAGGAGCGGTTATGAGCAGTGAGGGACGGTTAGGAGAGTTTGGGAGCGGCCTCTGTAGCACGGGCTGCAGCTGCTGCGCTCGCTGCAGATGCTGTGGCAGGTGCGGCTTTTGCTGCGCTTGCTGCTCCTGCTGCACGCGCGTATCTGCGGCTGATGCTGTGCGTGCGTGCAACGGCTGCGGAGGCACATGCAGCTGCTGCTGAAGTCGCGCGTGCAGTGGCTGCTGCGTGCGCGGGCGGCTGCTGCTCGAACTCGTGCGGTGGCGTGCATGCTCGCGGCTGGTGCTGCACACAGCTGCTGTGCGCGTGGCTGTATGTGCAGCTGCTGTTTCTCGTGTCAATGCGGCTGCGCGGGCAGCTGTGCGCTTGCAGGAACGAGCGCGGCTGTGGGGAAGCGCGCAGCCGTGCGTGCGGGCTGCGCGTGCAGGAGGCGCGTGCAGGCTACGCGTGCGGATCGCGCGTGTGGGCAGTGTCAGAATGTTATATTGTCTAGTCTGCAGTGGGGTACTCAGTACTGAGTACAGCCCGGTTAGGGTTTGCTATTTGTATCCCAACTGCCTGCTAGTGAAACCCCTCTCCCTTTCATTCCTGTTCGTTATTCTAACATGCTATCAGAGCGTCTACGCTCCTGGCCTGTGGGCCCACCTGCTTCCGCTGCTGTATTGTCTGTCGGGCGCCCCGTGGCGCGCGACGTTTTTTCTTCCCGCCACGCGCCCCGCCGCGCGCTCATGCCCCGTCGTCCGTCGCGCGCCGCCCCTGCTGGACCCGCGCGACGCCCTGCGGGACCCGCGCGCTGCCCCGCTGGACCCGCGCGACGCCCTGCGGGACCCGCGCGCCGCCCCCGCTGGACCCGCGCGACGCCATGCGGGGCCCGCGCGCTGCCCCGCTGGACCCGCGCGACGCCCTGCGGGACCCGCTCGCTGCCCCTGCTGGACCCGCGCGCCGCCCCTCCTGGACCACGCCCTGCCCGTTGCGAGCGCCCCATAGCCCGCCCGCGCCCTGCACGTCGCCACGCCGCCCGCCCTCCCCCCTCCTCCTTCGACTTCCTGCTGCGCGTGCAGCCGTGTGGAGGGTATGGGGGTGGCGGGGGTAAGGGGGGGTATGGGGGTGGTGGGAGTGCGTGACCAGCTGCCCCTCCTCCTCCTCTCTCTCCCACTGCTGCAGCTGCCGCTAAGGGGGGGATGGAGTGGGTGAGGTTGGGGAGTGGCGCTAGCCGGGGGGGATGTGAGAAAAGGGTTTGGGGGCGATGGGGGGAGGTTGGAAGGAGGTAGCCGCTGTGTCGCCTGCGGCTCCAGTAGTTCGGGGCCCTTGCTCCGGTAGCACGTGAGCCCGTTGCTCCAGTCGCCCGTGGGTCCGTTGCTCCAGCCGCTCGTCTAGCCGCGGAGCCAGTTGCTCCAGTAGTCCGGGGCCCTTGCTCCGGTAGCCAGTGTGCCAGTTGCTCCGTTGCCCGTGTGTCAGCAGCTTCACCTGCCGCCTCCCAACTCCTCTCCTCTCGTAGTCCCTCCTCATCCTCACTGCCCCTCTGCTATGTCTGCCACTAGGGCTAATTTGTGAACTTGCTCTATGACTGCTTGTTGTGCTGATTATACCCCACTTTGCCTATGGGGGTGTGTCAGAATGTTATATTGTCTAGTCTGCAGTGGGGTACTCAGTAGTGAGTACAGCCCAGTTAGGGTTTGCTATTTGTATCCAAACTGCCTGCTGGTGAAACCCCTCTCCCTTTCATTCCTGTTCGTTATTCTAACAGGCAGCGCGGGAGGGTACGGGGCAGGGCGGGGCGTATACGAGGGAGGGGCGTGACGAGTGAGTGGCGAGCCAGTGAACGGGACGGGGCGAGGCCAGCTAACGGGGCACGCGGTACGGGGCGGGCTAGGGGCGTGACGTGACTGAGCGCGGTACGTAGCTACTTACTAGGCTAGGCACGAACATCTAGCTGATACCATCTTAGAATCTAAGGGGCTTAGAGACTAACGATAATGTTGAGGCTAGGTCAAAGGAGGGGGGTACAACCAAAGTGTCGAGAAAGTTTTGTACCCCCTAACATGCAACTCACTAGAGCATATCTATATCTACAAACATAGTTTGACACTCCGGACCTTCGCCTCGACAAAACCCAACCTCGGCGCTAGGCCTGTAGTGTCAAATGTTATTAGAGGTTCTTAGGCTACAGTGAGTAGCACTCTAGGGAGTACAAAAATTTTAGGGTTGCTATTTGTATCCCTTGTTTCCCTAGTTCACACATTCCGTTGTGTTCCTACTTTGAGACGTAGCGCACCCCAGTACTTTGCGTTACCGTTACCACGCTAGCTTCGCTATATAATCTTCGCTCATTCCTTCGCTCAATGGACTGTTTTGCTTCGATAGTGCAATCTTCGCTCGCTCGCTCAATTACACTCATAACAGGTCCCCATCTAGCTAGGTTCTAGCTATATCTTGTTTTGTAGGACTGGAGTTATTGAGATTTTGTAGTACAGCTCACTACGGCTGTTACACATTCATTCCACTTTAGGGATTACCTGTCAACCGTCATGGTGAGATGTTCCCAAGTGCTTCGAATTCTGACGTCGAGGGTCGGGAGGGAGTGCCCAGCGGCGGAACGCGACTTTCAAACGAACCTCTTCGTCACACGGGTGCCGCTATCATCCCTGTACCTCCACTTGCCCAACTCCCCAACCTACCATTTTCCGAATTTGAGAGAGGCATCCAGCAAGCACTCAACATTGGTTGAACCATATGCAAGATCGTGACGACCTCTAGCATAGCCTGCATCCATCGCTGTTATTATGGCCCAAGAACTGCATACTCAACGTAACCCTGCGTCTCCCTGCTCTCGTCGAGGCATGAAGTACCAGTCAATTCCCTCTTCCGCAATCGGTGGTTACGTTTAGATAGAAGCACGCATCGTCGAATTCACGCATGGCCGTCGTCGGTGCAGTGGCGGCAGCGGCGGGGGCGGCGGCGTTCGTCTATTACACGGGCTTCGCCGAATCGCCCCTCTTCCCGCGCTTGCGCCGCAGAAAGGACGGCTCGGAGTGGGGGGGGTCCGACAGCGACCGCGTCCACGGCAGCGGCGGGGGAAGCGGAGGCCGCCGGGAGGGATGGCGGAAGCGGCGGCGGTCGGTGGGCCTCCGCGGGCCGGACCGGCCGCCCGCCACCCTGGCGGAGACGGCTGCGATGCTGGCGGCGGCCGTGCGGTTCCTGTTCGTGGAGACGCTGGGCAAGTGGCCGCTCACGGACCTGCTCTTCGGCGTCGCGTTCCTGCTGCGCCGCCGCAAGGTGCGCGGCTCGGGGCGACGTGTGGCGCTGGGAAGAATAAGGGAGGGACGTGGGGGGAAGGAGGAGCGTGGAGAGGAAGAGGGGCAGGGCACAAGATGCAGGGGGACAGGGTGGGGGAAGGCGGGCGCGAGGAGCGAGGGCGGTAAGCCGCCTCGCTGGTTGAGACAGGCCGAGGGAGAGGGGAGAAGGGGTTTGTCACGGGAAAGGAAGTGATGGGGGAGAGAGGCAGGAGAACCACACGCTCGTGCCCTTGCCTTTGCCTTACCGTCCCACCTCCACAACCACGCGCCCTCCTCTTCTGTGCTCCCATCGCCCTCTCTGCTCTTCCCCCCGCCCCCCTGTCCCGCCCGCTCCTGCAGCGAGCGGACGTGTCGCGCATGTATGCGCGCGAGGCGGTGGCGCGGCTGCGGGGCGCGTGGCGAGCTCGGGAGGTGGAGATGGTGGCGGAGTACGTGGCGCTGTGCTACTCCTTCTCGCGCAAGCCCTACCGCCTCTTCCTCGAGGACTCTCGCCTCTCACCCTCCGACGTCCTCCTCTACGAGCCCAACGCCGGGGTCAGCGCCACGCCCGCTCCCCCATCCACCTCCCCCATCCACCTCCCCCAACCACCTCCCCCAACTCGCTCCCTCAACTCGCTCCCCCAATTCGTTCCCTGCTCTCGCTCTTGCAGAGATGGGGATGGATGGGATGGGGGAGGATGGTTGTGTGTGCGTTCAGGTCATATGTTGCATGTCTCCACTCCCCATTCCTTTCTCCAATTGTCACTCCTCCTGCACTCTTTCCCACCAAAATCCACATTCATAGATTGCGCGCCCTCCCTACCCCCCTCCTTCCCTCCCTCGCTCCCTCCCTCCCTCCCTCCCTACCCCCCTCCCTCCCTCTCTCCCTCCCTCCCTCGCTCCCTCCCTCCCTCCCTCCCTCCCTCCCTCCCTCCCTCCCTCCCTCCCTCCCTCCCTCCCTCCCTCCCTCCGTCCCTCCCTCCCTCCCTCCGTCCCTCCCTCTCTCCCTCCCTCCCTCCCTCCCTCCCTCCCTCCCTCCCTCCCTCCCTCCCTCCCTCCCTCCCTCCCTCCCTCCCTCCCTCCCTCCCTCCCTCCCTCCCACCCACCCTCCCTCCCTCCCTCCCACCCACTCTCCCTACCTCCCTCCCACCACCCTCCATCCCTCCCTCTCAACCTCCCACCCTCCCTCCCTCCCTTCCCTCCCCCCCTCCCTCCCTACCTGTTGGTCGGTGTGCGCGGGCAGCTGCTGAAGCCGGCGTTTGCGTTGATAGTGGACGGGAGGCGGCGCACGGTGCTGGTGGTGGTGCGCGGCACGCACTCCACCAAGGACAAGCTCACGTGCGCCACGGGCGCCGTGGTGCCGTTCCACCACACCATCATGACGGACGGGGGCGTGCGCCACATCGTGCTGGGCTACGCGCACTGCGGCATGGTGGCCGCTGCCAGAGCCATTGCTGCGCGCTGCCTGCCCACTCTCCGCCAGGCCCTCGCCCGCCACCCAGGCTTCCATGTCAAGGTGGGTTTCATGAAGGTGCATCGTATCTCACGTGAAGGGGTGTGGCATGGCAGTGTGGCTGCCATGCGTGTCCAAGTGCACTGTTCATTCATCCGCTGCCAGGCTCACATCGCAACGCACCACCACTGCCGCCCATTCGCCCACTGCGCTCATGCTCTCATCATCCCCAAGCATGTGTGCCCTGCCACACTCTCACCCATGGCGCCTCACCTGCCCTCTCCCACTGCACCGCATGCCTCTCCACATCCGTGTGTGTGCATCACGGCATGGCGGGCATGGCGGGCAGGTGATAGGGCACTCGCTGGGCGGGGCCACGGCGTCGCTGCTCACCTTCATTCTGAGGGAGAAGGAGGGGCTCGCCTCCACCACCTGCGTTGCCTTCGGCCCTGGTCAGCCCACCACCCCCTTGGGATCGCCTGCCTTAGTGTTGTGCCAACTCTCAAATGCGTGTCTTGCTTCCCCACCACCACCCGCAACATTCATCCCTCCGGTCCTTTCACTCTTCTCATGAGCCAGCAACCTTACACAGTACGATAGCTGCGTTTTTGGAATGCGCTTGGGCAGGCAGGTAAAAACAAAACCAGGGCAGTGCAAAAACAAGCCCTGGAATCTGGTCAAACATGTCTAGGAGTAGTAAGAACAAACAAGCTTAGACAGGAAAAACCAAGGTGAGAAACACGGTGCTGGGCTAGGGTAGATTAGCGACAGAAATGTGTGGAGTGGAATGATTGGGTTGGGGTTGAACGAAACAAAAGAAACCCTCACACACACACAGTGCTCCTTGAGCGCAATGTCTGTTCTGGAGCATTTCGCTCAACGTATACTCCAACGTACGCCCTTACCTCCACATACCACTCCCCTTCCCCACTCCGTTGACGAGCAGCGGCGGCCATGACATGGGAGCTGGCGCAGTCGGGCGAGTGCTGTGTGACGTCCATCGTGAACGGCACTGACTTCATCCCCACACTCTGCTCCAGCTCGCTTGACGACCTCCGGCAAGAGGTCATGCCATGCCATGGGCTCCATGCACGTGTAGCAGCAGCGTTGCAAGGCACTCGCTCACAAGGTGTTCATAGTCGCTTGCTTTGCCCGCTTGCACCTGCACGCTGCACCTGTGCTTGCTTGTCTCGTCTGCAATTTCCTGCCCTCTTTCCAAAACACTGTTCACTTCCTCTTGCTCAATGCCGCTCCTTCTCCTTAAGACTTCCTTTCTCGTTCTGCTCACCGCACGATTCACAGCCAACACCCTTGGCATTCCACACTGGCACGGCACGTGTCGCTCGGGATGTCGTGCCACACCTCCCATCCACCGTCTGCTTTTCCTCATCACCCCATCGCGTGCAGGTGCGGCGGTCGGCGTGGGCGAGTGAGCTGCGGGAGCAGCTGCGCAAGGTGAAGCTGCTGCGCTCTGCACTGCGCTCCGCCGCCCTCATCCGCCGCCACCTCGCCCTCTGCCCTTCCTGCACCTGCCGCCGCCCCACCTGCTGCTCCTTCCCATTCTCGTCCCCACTCTCCCCCACCCCTTCCTCCTCCTCCTCCTGCCTTCTCTCGCCCTTTCTTGGATCGGCATGGGCATGCACGTTGTGTGGGCAGAGGCACATGGGGCGGGTGGAGGGGGGTGCAAGGTCAGCGTGTTGCACTGTGGCCATGCTACATGCGGCCTGCATGGGCAGACTCGCATGTGGCGGGGCTCTAAGACCATCGCTCTTCTCCCCGCCTGCTGCACCACCTCCCCATCGCTGCTCCCTCTGCGCATCCACCTGTCCCCCCCCTCTCCACTTTCTTGCGACAGCGCCTGCAGCAGCTGTGGCATCAGTGGCGCGCGTCTGCTGCCACCCTGCTGCCCTGCGCCCCCCCATGGCGTCCACCACTCCCCCTCGCCCCCCCTGGGCCCTGCGCACCTCGCTGCTGCCCCCTGGCTTCTGCAGCCGCGCCCGCGCGCGCCCATCCATTCTCCCAGGGGGGCTGGCAGCAGCAGCATCAGTGGGCGTGCAGGCAGGCAGTGCGGTGGAGGGCCCGCGGTGGTGGCGGCAGGACGTGGCGGAGGCCATGGTGGTGGGCGACGCCAAGAGGGGCGTGGAGTCACGCCACGGCTCCGACGGCAGGCTGCCTCACACGCTCGCCCACACACAGGACATGCGCGTGGGCGGCGATGGGGGGGGAGAGGAGTGCGGGCATGGCGCAGCGGATGGTGAGGTGGTGCTGGTGGCAGCTGAGCCGCAGAAGATGGTGGAGAGGGGCGCGGGCAGGGGGCGCGATGGGGGCAGTGCTGGTGGGCGCGATGGGGAGGGGTCGGGGAAGAGTGATGGGCACGTGGAAGAGGCTGGCTTGCTGGGGGTTCCAGGGACGTGGGTGAAGGAGAGTGATGCAGAGCAGGATGGTGGGGGGGAGGAGGAAGACGAGCAGGAGGAGGAGGACGATGAGATTGAGGAAGTGGAGAGCGATGATGATGACGATGATGATGCAGAGGAGGAGGACGAGGAGGAGGGGGAGGAAGAGGAGGGAGGGGGGGAAGAGGCAGACCTGGTGGGCGAGGAGAGGGAGCAGAGCAGGAGGAGGGCGAGGGAGGAGGAGTTGCGGCGGCAGCACAGTGACGATGTGGAGGGGCTGGCGGCGCTGCTCAAGGCCATGGACGACGGGGGAGATGCGGACCGCGCCCACGGCCACGCCCAGGACGACCGCCACGACACCTTCGGGCAGGCAGTGGGGCACGAGGGCGAGGCGAGCTTCCCAAGGGACAGCTGGCGGGGCCACAGCGGGGAGCTGTCGTGGGCTGTGATGGAGCAGCAGCTGCAGGAGCGGCTGGAGGCCAGCACCCGTGCGTCGAAGAGCGAGGAGGAGGCGGCGGTGTCAGCGGCAGTGGTGCAGGACATCCTGAGAGAGGAGGAGGAGGTGGCGAGCCAGGTGGCGGGCGCGGGTGACGAGAGGGATGTGCTGGAGCCGCTGGTGGCAGGCGCCGTGGACAGCAGCGGCGACGTGCCCGAGGCCGTTCGCACGGACCCACGGCGGTGGTTCCCGTGTGGGCGCATGGTGCACCTGCTGCGCAATGAGGACCCCGACGAGCACCGCGACGACAGCGCGGGTGTGGGGCAGGAGCGAGAGGGGGAGGAGCAGCGCAGCGCCAGGGATGGTGATGGGCATGTCATGTCGGACTCAGTTCACGAAGGTAGTACCGGTGCTGGCAGCACTGTGGGTAGTACAGGGGGGAGTGGTGGCACTGGGGGAGGGCCTCTCAAGGCAAGGCGTCAGCAGGGGAGGAAGCGGGGCAAGTGGAAGGCGGGGATGTTTGAGACGCCCCGGCATGTGTATTCGAGCATCAAGCTGACTGGATCAATGATTCAGGACCACCTCATGATGAACTACCGCCGCACCCTGCTGGACGTGGCGAGGGAGCTGGAGCAGGATGATGAGGAGGTGATGGATGAAGAGTACGAGGACGATGACGACTGCACCTTCAACTGTGGATGATGCATCACACACACAACAACTGCTCTGTTCTGTACAGTTTCAGTTTACCAAAGTGCTGTTTTTCTTTCTGACATGCCGAGAAAAGCTGTCGGTCTCAGGCACTCGAGATGTGGTACGGTAGGTAGCTTTTACCCAACAACCAAGTCATTATCAGGTTCTGGCATGGGAGCTCTGGCTCAAACCGTACAGCATCGGCAATCACAGCCAATCTTGTATAAAGCTTGCTTCACATCCACTCACAAAGTTTAGTGCGGTAGGTATTTCGTGTCAAATGTTTATATCTTCTAGATATTGTTAGTTATTCTAGGCTACAGTGAGTTGCCATCTAAATGGTACAACACTTTCTACCGTAGGTCGACACTTGTATCTCCTTGTTTCCTCCTCACTCACAAATCTCTCGACATTCTATCCTAGGCTATCTTAAGATGGTATCAGAGCAGGTATTTTTCCCTCCCACGATTCCGCTCCCTCCTTTAGGTGCTCCCGAGGTGGCCGTTCCTTAGGGCCCATTTCGTCGCGGGTAGGACGGCCTAGTTTCCGTCGCGCTCAAAGGCCCCCCGCGGGCCTGTTTAGTCGCGTTTACACGCCCCTTCCCGCGGGCCCCTTCGTTTCGAAGCGAGTAGGACGCCCCCCCCGCGGGCCCCCCGTTTTGACGCGCTCTAGACGCTCCCCCCTCCCCCCCCCGCGGACCCGCGTAGCCGCTCGTATCCAGCAGCAGCCGCGCGCGCACGTAGCAGGCGCACACGCACTAGCAGCAGCAGCGCGCGCGTTAGCCAGCGGCAACCGCGCACGCCACTGCAGCAGCGCATGCATGCTGCTGCCACGCACGCAGCAACTGCAACTGCTGCTGCTCCTGCTGGCCCAGCTGCTGGTCCAGCTGCTGCAGCTGCTGGTCCACTGCAGCAACCACAGCACCCTCCAGCCGCCCTCCAGCCGCCCTCCTCCAGCCACCCACAGCACCCTCCAGCCACACGCTCCCCGCTGCCTACTGCCGCCCACCGTAGCTCATCCAACCGCCCACAGAAACCTCCAGCCACCCTCCAGCCACCCACATCACCCTCCAGCCGCCCACAGCACTTTCCAGCTGCCTTCCCCACTTTCCAGCCTCCAGCTTCCGCCCATTTTCACCTACGACCGCACATAGCGGCCCACAAGGGCACACAGCTACCTGTAGCCGCCCACAGCATACTACCAGCCGCCATAGCGCCCGTTGTCTCCAACTCGTCTACTGCCATAGACATCTCCAACGGCGGCTGGCAGCCGCAGTTGCTTCTACTGGCACGGATTAGGGTTAGTTCCCCGACGTTGCTGGCGTTCCTCGTCCGACTTACCTAGCCTACCATTCCTAGTCTGGCTCCACTAGCTCCGTCCTCTCCTCGCTCCGGCCTTTCCTAGCCTGGCCTCCTAGCTCCGTTCGCTCCTCACTCCAGCCAGTCCTAGCTCCAGTTTTCTCCGTGCCCTGGCCGTACCTCGCCTAGTTTCGCCTAGCGCTCCTCGCTGTTCTCGCTCCTCGCTCCTAGATCCGTTTGCTCCGTTCTCCAGCCGCTCCTAGCCTAGCCTCCACTATGGAGTCCTCCCGCCGCCTTCGTTTCGATGCGGAGGGCCGCCCCATCGAGTTTAGTACCTGGCTCCACCAGGCTCAGCGCCACCTCACTAGTCAGCGTCAGGATGGTGCCACCCTGTACGCTCACGCGTCCGGCGCTCTCCAGGCCCCCCGGCGTACCGACCCCCTGCCTGCTGAGCACGCTCCCACTGCCAACGTGCAGGCGGACTATGACTGGCTTTTCTTGGAGCGGGACGTTTGGGACTCTCGTGACGCTGCGGCTGCTCTCGCGCTGACAGACCTTCTCCCACCGACTGAGGCCGTCCACTTCTCCTAGGTGGAGACTGCGAAGGGGTGTTATGATGCTATTGTTGCGCGTTATTCCACCCCTTCCTCTGCCTCCCTCAGCCACCTCCTTATGCCGTTTGTGTTTCCCGACCTTGGTTCGTTTGCGACTGTCTCCGACCTTGCCACTCACTTGCGTTCCCTCGACACTAGCTACCGTGCAGCCTGCACTGAGGCTCAACTTCTCCTTGCCCCCACTCTTACGTGGCTCACCGTGCACTGGTTAGTCACTCGCCTCCCTGACCGCCTCTCCTCTGCCCGTGACGTGCTTCTTCAGAAGCACCCCAGTGAGCTTGCGATCGATCTTCTTGAGAGCACTCTCTCGAAGATCGAAAGTAACCTCCTCTCTGTTGCGTCTGCCACTGACACAGTAGCTCCCCGTTTCTTTGAGGAGTGTGTTGTCCCTCAGCTTCCCACCTTCACTGCTACTCGTGCTAGTGCGTGTCTGACTCTGAGGAGACTGCAGCTGTCTCTGCCGCTGGTTGGCAGAAACGGGGCAAGGGTGGCAAGAAGGGGGGGAAGGGGGGTGGTGGCGGTGGGGGTGGCGGAGGTGGAGCTGGGAGTGGCAGTGGTGGCGGCGGAGGCGGTACTGGTGGACCTGGAGGAGGAGACCCTGGAGGAGGTCCTGGACAGGCGGGCCCGGCAGGTGGAGTTGTTGCCGCAAGCGGTGGTCCGGGAGCCCAGCAGCAGCAGCCACAGCAGGGACAGCAGCAGCAGCAGGGACAGCCGAAGTGGCAGGTGCCGCAGCAGGTTTCACAGTGGGGGCCCCCGCAGCAGTGGGGTCCGCAGCAGCACTGGCCCCCCCCGCAGCAGTGGGGACCTGGAGGTCCGGGGAGCACTCGCCGCAGCGGCAGCACTGCCAGCTGGGGCCCCCGCCCCCCTGGGCGCGACTCCGGCCCCTGCGACCACTGGATCCTCATGGGACCGGGCAGTCCCTGTGTCTGCGGGCGCGACAACCACTCAGCAGCGCGGTGCTTCCGCCGCCTCGACGACCTCTACCGTACGCGTCACGGTCACGGGGGAGGCACCCCGTGCTGGGCACAGATGTTAGCAGGTAAGATTCCTATATTTGAGCTGTCTACGGATGAGGCTCGTCAGTATGCTTTGTATGCTGATATTGACTATAGTGCTGATGGATCCGTTTGCTCGCGTGTTTCTAGACTAGTGTAGACTTGTGCCTCTCTAGTCTAGGTGCTTGTGTGGCTGCCCTAGGTGCTTGTGTAGCTACCAGACCAGGTGCACCTCTTGCTGAGGCGTCCCTGTCCTTCACGCTGGACTCTGGCGCGTCCCAGTGCTTCTTCCGCGACCACACGACTCTCACACCACTCCATACTCCTGTTCCGGTAGCTCTGGCTGATCCTACCTCAGGACCAGCCGTTGCGCGCAACTCCACCACCCTCCCGTGCCCTGTGGTCCCTTCTGGTGCCCTTCGAGGTCTCCACATCCCCTCGTTCACTCGGAACTTGGTGGGTGTTGGATACCTCCAGGATAGAGGGATCATAGTTACCTTTCTCGGGGGCGGGAGGACTGCGGTCTGCACGGACGCTACCACCGGTGTCGTTCTTGCTACGTTCACCAGGGAGCCTCGATTCGGTCTCTACGTTCTGCACACTGAGCGCTCCTAGGTCCCTGCGTACCCTCAGGTTGCTGTGTACAGTCAGGTTGCGGTGTCCGGTCAGGTGGCTGTGTCCGGTCTGGTTGTTGCGTCTTGCTCTTGCCGTTCACTCTCTCACTCGACAGTCTTGTGGCACCACCGTCTTGGTCACCCGTCCCTCCCATGCCTCCGCAGCCTGGCTAGACATCGTCTTGTCTCACGTGTCTTGCGTGTCTTTGAGTCGCTCCCTCGTTCGACAGCGCCGCCCTGCACTCCTTGCGTTGAGGGTCGGCTGCGCGCCACTCCTCACTCCTCCTCCCTTCGTTCGGCGCTCCCTTCCAGACCCTCCACTTGGACGTATGGGGCCCAGCCCCTCGTGCTGGGCCTGAGCGGGAGTGCTTCTTTCTAGTGGTCGTTGATGACTACTCCAGGTACACCGCGGTGTTTCCTATTGCGAAGAAGTCTGAGGTGACTCCTACGCTGATCCGGTGGCTCCTGGCCACGGAGGGCACTCGTGGTAGTCGTGTCCGTTGTCTCCACTCCGACCGTGGGGGTGAGTTCCGCTCCGGCGTGCTTGCCGGGTTCTGCGGCGAGCAGGGCATCACACAGTCCTGGACGCTTCCAGAGTTCCCACAGCAGAATGGGGTTGCTGAGCGCCTCATTGGCTTGGTCATGGAGATCGCCCGCACCTCCATGATCCATGCCCGTGCGCCCCATTTTCTGTGGCCCTACGCGGTTCGCTACGCCGCCTACTAGCTGAACCTCTGGCCTTGTGTCTCACGACCAGGGGCTTCACCGACCAGTCTTTGGACCGGTTCCCCTGGTGTTGCGCCGGCGTTTCACGTCTGGGGCTGCCTTGCGCTTCTCCGCGACACCTCTGCTGTGAGAGTACGCCGACGTTCGACATATTTCTCATTTCCATATTTTTACTCTATCTTATTCTCCTTATTTTCCTCTTTCATTTGCACTTTATTTCACCTCAATCGGACTCACTTCATTTCGATCCTGTGACATCTGCGGATAAGCTCTTGGCTCGCGCCATCCCTTGTGTCTTCCTTGGTTTCCCGTTGGACTCTCCTGACTTTTTGTTTTACCACCCGCCCCTCCACCGTTTCCTCGACTCCCGTGACGTCCGGTTTGACGAGTACGTGTCCTACTACACCTGGTACCCCTGTCGATGTCTCCCGGTCCCCCCTCCTCCTCTTTTCCTCGCGCCTTCTCCTCCTCCTGCTCCCGGTCCTCCGGTACCCCCGCCCCCTCCTGGTCCTGCCCCGTCAGGTGTGTCTCACGCTACCCCTCTACCATCGGTCGTGCGTCAGGTAGCGTCTCCCTCCCCACAGTCCTCCTCACAGTCCCCTCAGCGGCCTTCGGCACTTCCGCGACAGGTTATTGTGGACCCAGGGGGTGCTGGAGCTGGAGGTGCTGCCACTGGAGGTGCTCGGTCTGGGGGTGCTCTTTTGAGGGGTGCTGGAGCTGGAGGTGCTGGTACTGGAGGTGCTAGTTCTGGGGGTGTTGGAG